CAACGAATTACAGTCCGTTACAATCTTAAATGGTATTCCCTGTAAATACACATGAAACCGTTCTACCGCCTTTACAATCGCAAGAGTTTCCAACTCGAAGCTATGATAATTTTTCTCTGCATCGATAGTTGCCTTGCTAAAGTAAGCGATCGGCGCCCACCAATCCGTTTTTTGCTTTTGCAGTAGAATGGCTCCGAACCCCTGCCGGCTAGCGTCGGTATGGAGCTCGGTTTCCGCTAGTGGGTTATATATATGTAATACCGGTGAAGACGTCAGCTCACCCTTTAGCAAATCAAACGCGGCTTTACACTGTTCGTCAAAATGAAACGGTACGTCCTTTTTCGTTAATCGATGCAGTGGCATAGCTTTTAAGGCATAATCCTTGATAAATTTTCTAAAGTAATTAGTTAAACCCAGAAAACCCTGCAACTGTTTTAAGTTTTTCGGGTAATCATAGCTCCGAATGGACTAGACATGCCTCTGATTCAAGATAATACCCTCGGATGAGATTACGTAACCCAAATATTCTATTTCCCGCTTTAAGAGTGTACACTTAGCGTAATTTAATTCCAATTTGTATTTCTTTAACAACAGCAATACTTCCTCCAGAACTTCCAAATTCTCGTCGATTGTGGAGGTTGCAATTAGTATATCGTCCATGTACACCAGTATCTTTTCGCTCCGTATCAAAGGATCCAATATGTGATAAATTCTTTTTTGAAATTTGGCCGGAGCCTCCGAATACCCAAATGGCATTTTTATATATTCGAATTGACCGTGCGGGACCGAAAATGCAAAATATTTAGTGTCCTCTGGATGGATATCGATTTGATGGAATCCATCTTTCAAATCTAACTTGGAATACACGCACTTCCCCTGCAATTGATTTATCTGATCTTCGATTATGGGAAATGGGTATTTCTGGGGATAGATCCTTTGATTTAGAGGTCTTAGATCAACGCACATACGCTTTTGCTCGTTACGCTTCTCCACCAACACTACGCGCGAGCAATATGACGAGATACTGGTTTGATTATTCCGCGCTTTAATAAGTCGTCGGTAATGGCACGCAAATCACGCTTTTCCGAGAAGGAAAATCTACGGGGCGCATAGCGAAACAACGATGGGTCCCTCATATGTACACGAATTTGGTAATTATCAACGACGGGGGACATCTCCAATTTTTCGACCTTGTGTAAGAGATCTGCCAGTCGTTCTCTTGTTTGACCGTCAATTCGCCCATCCAAATTCTCCATTACAACATCACAGCGCTCCCTCGGATCATCAATCCCAATTTGGAAAATAAAATCAACCTGTTCAGGTTTCCCTGCCGGGCACTTAAACTTAAATCTGCCATTCTGATAAATGAGTTTAACCTTCGAATTTATTAAAAATTCGCGTCCCAACAATACGTCAAATGCAATAGTTGAATCATCCACTACTAAAAGAGTAACATCAAACCAACGACTGACATTTCCTTCCAAACAGATCTGATCGAATATTTTCCCATGAACTTTGATCTCCGAGTTATTAATTCCCTTCAAGTTTAAGTATTTCCCTACTCGAAACAAATTAGCGCTCGCAAAATATTTTTGATAAATTGATTTTCGAATTAAGCTTACTGGGCTGCCCGCATCTACAAGGGCGCGGAACGACTTATCTGAGAAACCGCATCTGGACACAGCGATGTACGGCGTCTCTCCCTCAATGACATAAATCCCGCTCGACGCTTCCTCCTTGGCAGCCTCCTCCGACTGTGGCTCCTCCTCCTCCACGGACACCTCCGCCAGGTGATTCAAGGTAGTTCCCGGAACGGATCTATTTCTTTGGCAGGCCGAACTCAGGTGACCCCTCTGACCGCACGCGAAGCACGTCATTGCGGCAACCCTACAGTCCCTCGCGAGATGCCCGGGCTTCTTGCAGTGAGAACAACTGATGCCGCTCCCCCCGATGGCCACCCTCGGGCTGGTCCTCTGGCCCGCGATGTCGACTCCCGTACGGCGCGCAACCACGCCATCCTCCGATATCCTCCGCATTTGCTCCAAAAACTCCGGAACGTTAGTGGCCCATGAATTCAAAGCGAATTTTCGGAAAGCGAAATCCTTGACTCCGTCAACCAGCAATTCAATTTTCTCTTTCTCGGTCAACGTGAGAAACTGCATCAGCTTTAATTTATCCTCCGCATAATCTATAAATTTCTCGGACTGCGCCCTCCATACTCGTGCGTTGATTCTCGACAGTGTCATGGTGACAGTTTCTTTTCTCTCGAAATACAGACGGATCTGACGCTTAAAGTCCTGCCAAGACGCAACAGACTCCACTCGCTGACGGTTATACCAACCCAATACCCGACCGGACAGCTGATTCACTGCCGCAACGACCAGAGCCTCGTCGGATATTCGATACATTCTGGCGATGCTGGCAATCCGCTCCAACCAGGGGATAATATTCTCATCCTCCTTTCCGGCAAAGGAGGGTATCAGTTTCGAAGCAAATTTAATTTGGTTCCAGTTGTGAAAGCCGCTTGATTGAGAGTCCGAGCTCGGCGATGTCATTGGCCTCGCCTCCGAACTCGGCCAGTCCGGAGCAACACTCACCGGCTGCCCCTGCGCCACGTTCAATGCCTGCACCACCGCTCGCACAATATCCTGCAGATCAAATGCATTTTCGACGTTGATCCC